CCTTGAGACATGTTTGTTCTCTCTTCTTCAAGGGCCCAGCAGAAGAATTACAAACAGAATCTCTTTTTAGTTTAATTACACAAAAAGGGTGAAATGTCACTGTCATATTTTCTGGAAAAATCCCTTTGCCAGGATTTCTTCTCCTGGGAAGCTGAGAAGCCTCAGAGAAAAAGGAAAGCACTATTATCTTATTTGATTCTCCTGTGTTTTGCTGTTTTGGAATGTGGTTGGAGATTGTTTATCCAACATGTGAATTGTTTTGACTTAATGACCAATCATGGTCAGGCTGTGTCGGACTCTGAAAAGAGAGTCACGAGTTTTTAATTAATATCTTGTTAAGCCTTCTGCAAGTATCCTTTCTTTATTCTTCAGTAGAGTTTTAGTACAGCATTCTTTTATATAATATAGTAACATAAAATAATAAATGAGCCTTCTGAGAACACGGAGTCAGATTCATCCTTTCCTCCCCACGACGGGGGATCCTGAAAATACCACACTGCCCCTGCCCAGGGCACCTGCTGGTCTGGACTGGGCTCACAGAATGACTTCCCAGCTGCTCCTCAGACTTCCTCATCACCATGGACTTGTCAGATTCCCCAGAACAGCAGGGCTGAGGTCATGAGGGTCCCACTGGCCTTGTCCCTTGGTGACGCTGATTGGTGATTTCTGATTTCCCAAGGACATCTCTGATGGCAGTCAGCCCCTCTGATAAAAAACAGGAACTTTGCCTGTCCCTGGCCAGCTCATCCCATTGCTATCAGAGAATGTGGGGGATACAAAAAACAAAAAGAAAACAAAATCCTGGTGGATGAACCCTGCATGCAGGATCCCAGGGGCTCTCTCCAAAGGTCTCTGATGGGACATGCACTCGACAGACACCCCTTTCCTCTTCCTGTGAGCTCTGTGGGTGCCCTGAACCAGCCCAGATCTCTCCATCGTTTTGAGAAGATCGTGACAAGAGTAGAGAAGATGTCATGAGCCCCTCACCCCCTCACAGTTTGGGGGGTGTGAGAAAAGAAGCAATAAATGACACAGCTACAGGCAGGCTGAGGTTTCCTGTGTCAGCTCCACATGACATATATAGAGGTTCTGTACTGGCCATTCTGTACCTGTCTCCAGCCTGACCACAGCCACTGCTTTGGCTCTTCAGGACAGTGGTGGGAGATGCTGCTGCTCCTTCTGCTCACAAATGCTTTTGTCCTTCTGCCCTGGGCTGGGGCTGGTGAGTACACAGAGATGGGACTTAGACAGGAACATGCAAGGGCACAGATGGACTCTGAGCAGTCAATCCCAGGCAAGGTTCCTGCCTCACCTTCTCTCCTGGCTCTACTCTCCTGCTTTCCTCTCTCCTCTCATCTCCCATCTCAGCCTGTGCCTGAAGCCAGTGAGTCATTAGAGGCACTAGAGCTGTGCCCTTGATGGCATTTGAGACATCCAGAGCCAGGGGTGGTCAGACCCCAGACAGTGCTGCTTGTCTTTCTTTCCACTGTGCAGCAGAAATGCTTTGGACAGCCCCAGGAAGGAGAGTGGTTGGGATCACTGGCACCTGGCTTTAGAGGATGAGCCTTTCCTTTCATGCAGCCCCAAACTTGATAGGAAACAGCAGCATATTTACATTTATATTTTACATTTATATTTAACATTCATATTAACAGTTCCCATCTCTCTTTCAGGAAGTATCATTGGTGGATGTGAAGCTGATGCCCACTCCAGACCCTACATGGCTTACTTAATAATTGAAAATGGCACAAAAGGTATTAATTTTCCCTGTGGAGGGTTCCTGATTCGCCCAGACGCAGTGCTCTCAGCAGCTCACTGTGTGGATATAAAAGGGTAAGACTCCATTTTTTTTGCCCAGGTGATTTTTTCCAGTCTCACACAGTCCCAGAGTGCCTCAGCCCTGCTCTGGGCTGAAACAGTACCCTGTGTCTCTTCAGGCAGAGCAGGGATCTCTGGAGCTGAGCTCCCCTCTGTGAGTGCAGGAATTGTCTGCCTGGTTGGGGCTGAGTGTCCTTGGGGACAGGAATGCTCACAGGGGTCTCCAGGGTCATGGTTCCTGCCATGGCTTAGAGCTGCTGCTGGAGAAGGGCTCTAGTGTGTCCCCTGCCCTGCTTCCCTTTGTGCTCAGCACGGGGCAGCTGCCAGCTGTGTCAGTGTGGGGTGAGGGATCCTCAGCTGGGCTCTGGAAGGAACCCAGGTGAGAGAGGACAACTTGCTGAGAGCTGCTCTGGGGAGGTTTCTCCAACACCACCTCCCTCCAGCCACCGGCCCTGGGGGCTGTTCCTGTCAATGCAGCTGAAATGTCTTGGTGTTTCCTGGCAGGACAGTGAGGGTCACTGTGGTTCTGGGAGCCCACAACATAAGGAGGGAAGAAGAGAGCCAGCAGGTGATCCCTGTTGTAATAAAGGTCATCCATCCTAAATATTCCCGTAAAGACGGGAAAAATGACGTTGTGCTGCTGAAGGAATCGCCCAACACATCCTTCTTGCCTGAGGGATCTTCCCCTGCTTTCCTCCCCAAACTCTCAACATGCTCCTCATCCTTTGCTGGCTCTAACACCGTGTTCTCTCTGCCTGACAGCTGAAGCAAAAAGCCAATATCACTAAGAATGTGCAATGTATCTCCATTGCCGAGAACCACGAATGTGTGAGAGCAGGAGATTTATGCATGGTGTCTGGCTGGGGCTGGACATCTCCAGAAGGGGACATTAATGATGTCTTGATGGAGGTGGACCTGGAGGTGCAAAATGAGGAAATATGTGAGCAGCTTTCCAGTAAATACCAGCGTCAGTCTATGATCTGTGTTGGTGACGAAGATAGTAATAAAGCAACTGCCCCTGTAAGTGTTGTGTTGGGTTGCAAAATTCGGAGGAGGTTGGGACTGGAAATTCAGCTTAGTTCTCAGGTGAAAGCAAAAGGACACCAGAATGATGAGCTGAGGGTCCTCACAGAAGCTCTGAAGCCAATGTGCTCCCTGAACTGGGGTGCATTTCCCTAACTATCAGCAACATTTGCCTTTTTTACATACTTGGGGATGTTCTCCCCAGCCTAGCCAGTGCTTTGGTGTGTAAATTCCTTGTGATATCCTTGCTCAGATGGGTTAGATATTTCCCCATGTCTAAAGTAGATCAATGTTCTTTTAGAGTTTTTGAATCTCAGAGAGCCTCCAGGCTTGAATTGTTTCATGGGTGGGCTTAGAGGAGTAGTGAGGCAGCTACAAACACTGAGAGCTGGTTCTGGAGGAAGGGAAGTGCTTGGAAGAGGAGGTTCTTCACCTGGAGGGAGGGAAGGGGAAACTTGCTGCTTAAGGCAGGGAGAGCTGAGCTTTGGCATGTCTGACCTCTCTCACTCCTTTCATGGCACAGGGTGATTCTGGTGGCCCATTAGTCTGCAATGAGAAGGCTCATGGCATTGTTTCTCATGCACTCAAAAAGAACCATTTCGCTGAGGCATTCACCAGGATCTCCCACTTTGAGCCGTGGATCCAAAAGCAGCTGAAGAGGTTTTCACGCAAGGCAGTTTCTTGCTTTCCATTGTCTGACTAAAATGGTCAGTGCCCCTTCTCCACAATGCATCCAACACCTGCTGGTGCTCACAAGCTCCCAGGGGCAGCTGGAGCAGAGTCAGAGAAGCCCCTGTGGTGCAGGCACAGGTTTTGGCAATAAGGAGAATCTCCGTGGCAAGCTGTAAATGCAAGTCCCAAGTACACCCAGTTTCCCATTGCTCCTTTCCTCCCATCGCCACTCCAGCTCTGCTTCTGGCCATCAATAAAAGCATGTTCAAAGTGACTTGTGTCTGCAGCCTTCTTGGGAGCTGGATTCAAACCCTGAGTGTGAGAATGAGGAGGTGACTGATATTGTGTCCTTGATTGCGGTGGTTGATCGGCAGATGTGCCAGGACCATGTGTGGTCCTGGAGTGGCTGGGCCCTGCCAGCAGTCCGGATCACAGTTCAGCCACTGGCTGGGGTCCTAAACCACCAGAGGCATCCAATAATTGTCGACCCAACACCAAAGGATCAGGGCAAAAGAAAAAAGAAAGGACTGTCTGCTTGCTTCTTTGAGCTGCTTTAGTTCTTTCCCACGCAGAAGTGGTGCCGGGCCAGCGCCGTGTGGAATCGGCATCGCGGCACAAGAGTTGTTCTTTCCCGCAGCAGGAGCAGCACCGAAGAGTGGTGTCATCTGCTATTGTTCATTTTGTGTGCTGGGGGGTGCTTTGCCTGTTAAATAAACAGGTTCTTTCCACTTCTCTCCAAGGAATCCTTCCCGAATCGGTGGTGGGAAGAGGCTGTGTGGGTTTGGTTTCTGGAGGGGTCCCCTGTGGAGGTTTTCTTCCAAATTTGCCCTAAACCAGCACACCAGGGCATCTGCTGGTCTGGACTGGGCTCACAGAATGACTCCCCAGCTTCACCTCAGACTTTCTCATCACCATGGTCTTGTCAGATCCCCTAGAACACCAGGGCTGTGGTCAAGAGTCCCTAAGTGGCCTTGTCTCTTAGTGACCCTGACTGGTGGTTTCTGATTGCACCAGGACATCTCTGATGGCAGTTAGCCCCTCTGATAAGAAACAGGAACTTTGCCTGACCCTGGCCAGTTCTCCCCATTGCTATCAGAGGACAGGGGGAAACAAAAAAAAAAAAAAGAAAACAAAATCCAGGCAGAATCAGCCCACATGCAGAGTCCCAGGGGCTGTCTCCAAAGGTCTCTGATGAAAGATGCACTCAACAGACACACCTTTCCTCTCCCTGGGCACTGTGGGTGCTCTGAACCAGCCCAGTTCTCTCCATTTTTTGAGAAGATTGTGACAAAACCGCAGGGAATGTTTCATGAGCCCCTCACCAACCACAGTTTGGGGGCAGGGAGAACAAAGCAGTAAATGACATGGCCACAGGTTTCCTGTGTCAGCTGCACATGACATATATAGAGGTTCTATACTGGCCATTCTGTATCTGTCCCCTGCCTGACCACAGCCACCACTTTGGCTCTTCAGAACAGTGGTGGGAGATGCTGCTGCTTCTTCTGCTCACAAACGCTTTTGTCCTTCTGCCCTGGGCTGGGGCTGGTGAGTACACAGAGATGGGACTTAGAAAGGAACATGCAAGGGCACAGATGGACTCTGAGCAGTCAATCCCAGGCAAGGCTCCTGCCTCACCTTCTCTCCTGTCTTTACTCTCCTGCTTTCCTCTCTCCTCTCATCTCCCATCTCGACCTGTGCCTGAAACCAGTGAGGCATTAGAGGCACTAGAGCTGTGCCCTTGATGGCATTTGAGTCATCCAGAGGCCGGGGAGGTCAGACCCCAGACAGTGCTGCTTTCTTTCTCTCCATTGTGCCCCAGCAATGCTTTGTACAGCCCCAGGAAGGAGAGTGGTTGAGATCACTGGCACCTGGCATTAGAGGATGAGCCTTTCCTTTCATGCAGTCCCAAACCTTAGAGGAAACAGCAGCATATTTATATTTATATTTATATTTACATTTCCCATCTCTCTTCCAGGAAGGATCATTGGCGGAAGGGAAGCTGTGGCCCACTCCAGACCCTACATGGCTTTTTTAAAAATTAAAAATGCGACAAAGACTAGTAGGTGCGGAGGGTTCCTGATTCGCCCAGATGCAGTGCTCTCAGCAGCTCACTGTGTGGATAAAAAAGGGTAAGACTCCATTTTTCTTGTACAGGTGATTTTTTCCAGTCTCACACAGTCCCAGAGTGCCTCAGCCCTGATCCAGGCTGAAACAGTACCCTGTGTCTCTTCAGGCAGAGCAGGGATCTCTGGAGCTGAGCTCCCCTCTGTGAGTCCAGGAATTGTCTGCCTGGTTGGGGCTGAGTGTCCTTGGGGACAGGAATGCTCACAGGGGTCTCCAGGGTCATGGTTCCTGCCATGGCTTAGAGCTGCTGCTGGAGAAGGGCTCCAGTGCGTCCCCTGCCCTGCTTCCCTTTGTGCTCAGCACGGGGCAGCTGCCAGCTGTGTCAGTGTGGGGTGAGGCATCCTCAGCTGGACTCTGGGAGGAACCCAGGTGAGAGAGGACAACTTGCTGAGAGCTGCTCTGGGGAGGTTTCTCCAACACCACCTCCCTCCAGCCACCTGCCCTGGGGGCTGTTCTTGCCAATGCATCTGCAATGTCTTGGTGTTTCCTGGCAGGAGGATAGTGAGCTTCTCTGTGATTCTGGGAGCCCACAACATAAGTAGTCAAGAACCAAGCCAGCAGAAGATCCCTGTTGGAAAATGGGTCATCCATCCTAAATATTCCCGTAAAGGCTGCATAAATGATATTATGCTGCTGAAGGTATGGCCCAACACATCCTTTCTGCCTGAGGGATCTCCCCCTGCTTTCCTCCCCAAACTCTCAAATTGCTCCTCATCCTTTGCTGGCTCTAACCCCGTGTTCTCTCTGACAGCTGAAGAAAAAAGCCAAGATCAATGAGTATGTGCAATATATCTCCTTTGCCAAGGAAAATGAACATGTGAGAGTAGGAGCCTTATGCAGGGTGTCTGGCTGGGGCCGGACATCTCTGAACCCGCCAGCGAGTGATGTCTTGAGGGAGGTGGAATTGAAGGTGCAGAAGGAGAAAATCTGTCAGAAGTTTTCCAAATACTTCCAGCCTCAGTCTATGATCTGTGTTGGTGATGAAAAGAGTAAAAAAGCAGCTTACAAGGTAAGTGTTGTTTTGGGCTGCAAGCGTGGGAGGAGGTTGGGATTGGAAATTCAGGTTAGTTCTTAGGTGAAAGCAAAAGGAAACCAGAATGAACCAGGACCTTCAGAATGATGAGCTGAAGGTCCTCATAGAATATCTGAAGCCAATGTGCTCCCTGAATTGGGGTGCATTTCCCTAACTATCAGCAACATTTACTTTTTTACTTACCTGGGGATGTTTTACCCAGCCTAACAGTGCTTTGGGGTGTAAATTCCTTGTTATATCCTTGCTCAGATTGGTTAGATATTTCCCCATGTCTAAAGTAGATCAATGTTCTTCTTTTGAGTTTTTGAATCTCATAGAGCCTCTAGGCCTGAATTGTTTCATGGGTGGGCTTAGAGCAGTAGTGAGGCAGCTACAAGCACTGACAGCTGGTTCTGGAGGGAGGGAAGTCCTTGGAAGAGGAGGTTCTTCACCTGGAGGGAGGGAAGAGAAAACTTGCTGCTTAAGGCAGGGAGAGCTGAGCTGTGGCATGTCTGACCCCTCTCACTCCTTTCATGGCACAGGGTGATTCTGGTGGCCCATTAGTCTGCAATAAGAAGGCTCATGGCATTGTTTCTCATGCACGTAAATACAACCTCTTCCCTGAGGTATTCACCAGGATCGCCCACTTTGAGCCCTGGATCCGTAAGCAGCTGACAAGGTTTTCACTACAAGATATTCCTAGCTTTCCATCCTCTGACTAAAATGCTCATTGCCCCTTCTCCACAATGCATCCAACACCTGCTGGTGCTCACAAGCTCCCAGGGACAGCTGAAGTGGAGTCAGAGAAGCCCCTGTGGTGCAGGCACAGGCTTTGGCACTAAGGAGAGTCTCCGTGGCAAGCTACAAATGCAGGTCCCAAGGACACCCAGTTTCCCATCGCTCCTTTCCTCTCACTGCCGCTCCAGCTCTGCTTCTGGCCTTCAATAAAAGCATGTTCAAAGTGACTTGTGTCTGCAGCCTTCTTGGGAGCTGGAGTCAAACCCTGAGTGTGAGAATGAGGAGGTGACTGATATTGCGTCCTGATTGCGGGGGTTGATCGGCACCTGTGCCAGGAATGGCTGCGCGCTGCCAGCAGGCCAGATCACAGTTCAGCCACTGGCTGGGGTCCTAAACCACCAGCGGCATCTGATAATTCTGGACACAACACCAAAGGATCAGGGCAAAGGAAAAAAGGAAGGACTCTTTGCTTGCTTCTTCGAGCTGTTTTAGTTCTTTCCCATGCAGAAGCGGTGTCGGGGTGGTACCGCGTGGAATCGGCATCGTGGCACAAGAGTTGTTCTTTCCCGCGGCAGAAGCAGCGCCGAAGGAAGGCAGGGTCACAACACTCTGGGCACTGGCACTGGCAGCGGTTGTGGCAGCAATCTCTCCCACGGAAAGAGCCACACCTGCGCGGATGGCCGCGATCTCTCCCTTGGCAGGAACCACAGGTGCGCTCATGGCCGCAATCTCTCCCACGGCAGCTGATGCCACACTGTAGCCGACCCCATGCAGCTTAGGAGAGCTCCATGGACGATTGAGACTTAACTGTGGGAACTGCTGAGTCATGAGGAGACAGCAAAATAAGCTCCTGTCTTCTACTACCGTGGCCCCATAGCTTATCTCTGTGACCTCATAGGTCACTTTTCCCTAACCCTTTCCATGGGACAAATTGGGATTCCCCTATACCCTATAAAAAGGGGTTGTTTTGGCCCATTCAACAGAAGAAGAGCTGTCGCTGGAACCCTTCGCAGACTCTCCAATAAACCAATAAACCATCTCTGTGGAACTGCCAGGACCTCTCCTTCTCCTCTCTCGCATCTGCTTCTGCCTCAGCCAAAGGCACCCTAGGAGGCCAAAGGAGGGTCATGGAAACAGGGGCTGAGTCCCTTCCAGGCTGTAACACTGACCCAGAGCTGCCAGGGAGGACTCAGAGAGGGCCCAGGCAGGGCTGCTCCCTTCTCATGGGGACACCCTGAGCCTGTTCCTCAGCTGAGCTCCAGCTGTGTCTCAGCCAGCCCTGCACCTGCCCAGGGCACCTGCTGGTCTGGACTGGGCTCACAGAATGACTCCCCAGCTGCACCTCAGATTCCTCATCACCATGGACTTGCCAGATTCCCTAGAATACCAGGGTTGAGGTCATGAGGCTCCACTGGCCATGTCCCTTAGTGACCCTGAGTGGTGGTTTCTTATTTCCCAAGGACATCTCTGCTGGCATTTAGCCCCTCTGATAAAAAACAGGAACTTTGCCTGACCCTGGCCCTGGCCAGCTCTCCCCATTGCTATCAGAGGACAGGGGGAAACAAAAAACAATGAAAAAATATCAAGACAGAAGCAGCCCACCCATGCAGGGTCTCAGGGGCTCTCTCCAAACATCTCCGATGGGATATGCACTCAACAGACACCCCTTTCCTCTCCCTGTGCATTGTTGGTGCTCTGAACCAGCCCAGATCTCTCCAGCGTTTTTAAAAAATTTTTTCTGAGGTGATGTAATGATGCTTGTATCCCCAGTCATTATTCAGTTTATGCTGGATATTATGTTCTGTGCCTTCATGATTGGCTTGGAAGAGTGAAAGTTTTTTTTTGGATTTGTTATCAGCCGCTTCCCCACAGCTGGAAGGACACAGAGACAGGGCAGTACATAGGGCTACTCTTGCTTTTTCTTGGCTTTAGCTTTGCTCTTGCTCTTGCTTTTTCTTCTGCTCATTTGTTTAGCTAAGCAGTCTGATTTTTCCCTGGACTGTTTTCCTTTCCCTTTTTTGGACCTACTCAAACCTGCTCCTGACTGGGACCTGAGAACCATCGAGATTTTGCACCTTGTGGCTGCAGCAGCTACCCCAGCACCCCAGGGACTGATAACAGTGACCAGCCCCAAGAGAGACTTTCTCAATTTGTCATCTTTTCCAGAGGGGTGAAAGAGTGGTGTTATCTGGTATTGTTCATTTTGTGTGCTAGGGGATGCTTTGCCTGTTAAATAAACAGGTTCTTTCCACTTCTCTCCAAGGAATCCTTCCCGAATCGGTGGTGGGAAGAGGCTGTGTGGGTTTGGTTTCTGGAGGGGTCCCTTGTGGAGGTTTTCTTCCAAATTTGCCTTCAACCAGCACACCAGGGCACCTGCTGGTCTGGACTGGGCTCACAGAATGACTCCCCAGCTGCACCTCAGACTTTCTCATCAGCATGGTCTTGTCAGATCCCCTAGAACACCAGGGCTGAGGTCAAGAGGCCCCAATGGGCCTTGTCTCTTAGTGACCCTGACTGGTGGTTTCTGATTGCACCAGGACATCTCTGATGGCAGTTAGCCCCTCTGATAAGAAACAGGAACTTTGCCTGACCCTGGCCAGTTCTCCCCATTGTTATCAGAGGATGGGGGGAAACAAAAAACAGAAAGAAAACAAAATCCAGACAGAATCAGCCCACATGCAGAGTCTCCAAAGGTCTCCGATGGAAGATGCACTCAACAGACACACCTTTCCTCTCCCTGGGCACTGTGGGTGCTCTGAACCAGCCCAGTTCTCTCCATTTTTTGAGAAGATCGTGACAAAACCGCAAAGAATGTTTCATGAGCCCATCACCAAGCCACAGTTTGGGGGCAGGGAGAACAAAGCAGTAAATGACACGGCCACAGGTTTCCTGTGTCAGCTCACCATGAAATATATAGAGGTTGCCATTCTGTACCTGTCTCCAGCCTGACCAAAGCCACTGCTTTGGCTCTTCAGGACAGTGGTGGGAGATGCTGCTGCTCCTTCTGCTCACAAACGCTTTTGTCCTTCTGCCCTGGGCTGGGGCTGGTGAGTACACAGAGATGGGACTTAGACAGGAACATGCAAGGGCACAGATGGACTCTGAGCAGTCAATCCCAGGCAAGGCTCCTGCCTCACCTTCTCTCCTGTCTTTACTCTCCTGCTTTCCTCTCTCCTCTCATCTCCCATCTCAGCCTGTGCCTGAAGCCAGTGAGGCATTAGAGGCACTAGAGCTGTGCCCTTGATGGCATTTGAGTCATCCAGAGGCCAGGGAGGTCAGACCCCAGACAGTGCTGCTTTCTTTCTCTCCATTGTGCCCCAGAAATGTTTGTACAGCCCCAGGAAGGAGAGTTGTTGGGATCACTGGCACCTGGCATTAGAGGATGAGCCTTTCCTTTCATGCAGCCCCAAACTTGACAGGAAACAGCAGCATATTTATATTTATATCTAACATTCATATTAACATTTCTCGTCTCTCTATCAGGAAGGATCATTGGCGGAAGGGAAGCTGTGGCCCACTCCAGACCCTACATGGCTTTTTTAAAAATTAAAAATGCGACAAAGACTAGTAGGTGCGGAGGGTTCCTGATTCGCCCAGATGCAGTGCTCTCAGCAGCTCATGTGTGGATGATAAAGGGTAAGACTCCATTGTTCTTGCACAGGTGATTTTTTCCAGTCTCACACAGTCCCAGAGTGCCTCAGCCCTGATCCAGGCTGAAACAGTACCCTGTGTCTCTTCAGGCAGAGCAGGCATCTCTGGAGCTGAGCTCCCCTCTGTGAGTCCAAGAATTGTCTGTCTGATTGGGGCTGAGTGTCCTTGGGGACAGGAATGCTCACAGGGGTCTCCAGGGTCATGGTTCCTGCCATGGCTTAGAGCTGCTGCTGGAGAAGGGCTCCAGTGTGTCCCCTGCCCTGCTTCCCTTTGTGCTCAGCACGGGGCAGCTGCCAGCTGTGTCAGTGTGGGGTGAGGCATCCTCAGCTGGGCTCAGGAAGGAACCCAGGTGAGAGAGGACAACTTGCTGAGAGCTGCTCTGGGGAGGTTTCTCCAACACCACCTCCCTCCAGCCACCTGCCCTGGGGGCTGTTCTTGCCAATGCAGCTGCAATGTCTTGGTGTTTCCTGGCAGGACGATAGTGAGCTTCACTGTGATTCTGGGAGCCCACAACGTAAGTAGTCAAGAACCGAGCCAGCAGAAGATCCCTGTTGGAAAATGGGTCATTCATCCTGAATATTCCCGTGAAGGCTTCATAAATGATATTATGCTGCTGAAGGTATGACCCAACACAACCTTTCTGCCTATCTCCCCCTGCTTTCCTCCCCAAACTCTGAATTTGCTGCTCATCCTTTGCTGGCTCTAATCCCGTGTTCTTTCTGCCTGACAGCTGAAGAAAAAAGCCAAGATCAATGAGTATGTGCAATATATCTCCTTTGCCAAAGAAAATGAACATGTGAGAGTAGGAGCCTTATGCAGTGTGTCTGGCTGGGGCCGGACATCTCTGAACCCGCCAGCGAGTGATGTCTTGAGGGAGGCGGAACTGAAGGTGCAAAAGCAGGAGATCTGTCAGCAGGTTTTCCCTAACTACAAGCGTCAGTCTATGATCTGTGTTGGTGATGAAAACCGTAAAAAAGCAACTTACAAGGTAAGTGTTGTTTTGGGCTGCAAGCGTGGGAGGACGTTGGGACTGGAAATTCAGGTTAGTTCTTAGGTGAAAGCAAAAGGACAGCAGAATGAACCAGGACCTTCAGAATGATGAGCTGAGGGTCCTCACAGAAGCTCTGAAACTGATGTGCTCCCTGAATTGGGTTGCATTTTCCTAACTATCAGCAACATTTGCTTTTTTACTTACCTGGGGATGTTTTACCCAGCCTAACCAGTGCTTTGGGGTGTAAATTCCTTGTGATATACTTGCTCAGATGGGTTAGATATTTCCCCATGTATAAACTAGGTCAATGTTCTTCTTTTGGATTTTTCAATCTCAAAAGTGTCCAGGCCTGAATTGTTTCATGGGTGGGCTTAGAGGAGTAGTGAGGCAGCTACAAAGGCTGAGAGCTGAGTCTGGAGGGAGAGAGGTGCTTGGAAGAGGAGGTGCTTCACCTGGAGGGAGGGAAGAGGAAACTTGCTGCTTAAGGCAGGGAGAGCTGAGCTGAGCTGTGGCATGTCTGACCCCTCTCACTCCTTTCATGGCACAGGGTGATTCTGGTGGCCCATTAGTCTGCAATAAGAAGGCTCATGGCATTGTTTCTCGTGGAATAAAACATCGCCTATTTCCTAAGGCATTCACCAGGATCTCACACTTTGAGCCCTGGATCCGTAAGCAGCTGACAAGGTTTGCACTCCAAGATATTCCTGGCTCTACATCCTCTGACTAAAATGCTCATTGCCCCTTCTCCACAATGCATCCAACACCTGCTGGTGCTCAGAAGAAGTTCCCAGGGGCAGCTGAAGTGGAGTCAGAGAAGCCCCTGTGGTGCAGGCACAGGCTTTGGCACTAAGGAGAGTCTCCTGGCAAGCTACACATGCAGCTCCCAAGTACACCCAGCTTCCCATTGCTCCTTTCCTCTCACTGCCGCTCCAGCTCTGCTTCTGGCCTTCAATAAAAGCATGTTCAAAGTGACTTGTGTCTGCAGCCTTCTTGGGAGCTGGATTCAAACCCTGAGTGTGAGAATGAGGAGGTGACTGACATTGTGTCCTGGTCATCGGGGTCCATTGGCAGATGTGCCAGGCGTGGCTCTGCCCTGCCTCTGCTGCCTGCAGGCCGGATCACAGTTCAGCCACTGGCTGGGGTCCTAAACCACCAGAGGCATCTGATAATTGTGGACCCAACACCAAACGATGAGTTCAAAGGAAAAAAGGAAGGACTCTTTGCTTGCTTCTTCGAGCTGCTTTAGTTCTTTTCCGTGCAGAAACGGTGCCGGGGCGGCGCCGCGTGGAATCGGCATTGCGGCACAGGAGTTGTTCTTTCCCGCAGCAGGAGCAGCACAGAGGCGAGGCAGGGGACACAACACTCGTGGGCACTGGCAGCGGTCACGGCTGCAATCTCTCCCTTGGCAGGAGCCACCGCTGCGCCCACGGCCGCAATCTCTCACAGGGCAGCTGATGCCACACTGTAGCAGACCCCATGCAGCTTAGGAGAGCTCCATGGAGGATGGAGACTTAACTGTAGGAAGTGCTGAGTCATGAGGAGACAGCAAAATAAGCTCCTGTCTTTTTCTACCCCTCGCCCCATAGCTTATCTTTGTAACCTCATAGGTCACTTTTCCCTGACCTTTACTATGGGACAAATTGGGATTCCCCTATACCCTATAAAAAGGGGCTGGTTTAGCCCATTTGACAGAAGAAGAGCTGTGTCTGGAACCCTTCGCAGACTCCACAATAAACCATTGCTGTGGAACCGCCAAGACCTCTCCTTCTCCTCTCTTGCATCTGCTTCTGCCTCAGCCAAAGGCACCCTAGCAAGCAAGCAAACAGCTGAAATCCGAAGAGAGCTGAGAATCACCAAAGAGCTGACAGTCACTAAGTTTGCTAAGGGCAGCATGCGGCAGCTGCGAGCTGACTGGGTATTCGGGCACTCTGTCTCCCAGAGGGACTGAGTATTCCTGACTATCCTGCATCCCTCGGTGATAAGGCCAGGATAACGGACTTATCACCACGTGAGTGTTCTTCTTTCTCCTGGCAGAAAGTGGTGCTGGTTGCAAAGAGCTGCCCCACACGGGTGCCAGCAGAGCACGGGTGAAGCGTGGAATCCACGCGGCTCAAAGAGGGGGCAGTGGGAGAGTGCGCAAAAGAGAAAAACAGTGGCTTAAATGCAAGAGAGGATGGAATCATGGGATGCGACTGTCTGGATTGCTCGGAGGGGTCTGGGGGGACACATGTAAACATAGCCTGGAGCAGGAAAGTTACAGATCCTGGAGGTTTCACTGGCTGGGCTCATGGCCAAATGAGGGTCATGGAAACAGGGGCTGAGTCCCTTCCAGGCTGTAACACTGACCCAGAGCTGCCAGGGAGGACTCAGAGAGGGCTGCTCCCTTCTCATGGGGACACCCTGAGCCTGGTCCTCAGCTGAGCTCCAGCTGTGTCTCAGCCAGCCCTGCACCTGCCCAGAGAACCTGCTGGTCTGGACTGGGCTCACAGAATGACTCCCCAGCTGCACCTCAGACTTTCTCATCAGCATGGTCTTGTCAGATCCCCTAGAACACCAGGGCTGAGGTCAAGAGGCCCCAATGGGCCTTGTCTCTTAGTGACCCTGACTGGTGGTTTCTGATTGCACCAGGACATCTCTGATGGCAGTTAGCCCCTCTGATAAGAAACAGGAACTTTGCCTGACCCTGGCCAGCTCTCCCCATTGTTATCAGAGGACAGGGGGAAACAAAAAACAGAAAGAAAACAAAATCCAGACAGAATCAGCCCACATGCAGAGTCCCAGAGGCTGTCTCCAAAGGTCTCTGATGGGAGATGCACTCAACAGACACACCTTTCCTCTCCCTGGGCACTGTGGGTGCTCTGAACCAGCCCAGATATCTCAATTTTTTGAGAAGATCGTGACAAAACCGCAAAGAATGTTTCATGAGCCCCTCACCAACCACAGTTTGGGGGCAGGGAGAACAAAGCAGTAAATTACATGGCCACAGGTTTCCTGTGTCAGCTCCACATGACATATATCGAGGTTCTGTACAGGCCATTCTGTACCTGTCTCCAGCCTGACCACAGCCACTGCTTTGGCTCTTCAGGACAGTGGTGGGAGATGCTGCTGCTCCTTCTGCTCACAAATGCTTTTGTCCTTCTGCCCTGGGCTGGGGCTGGTGAGTACACAGAGATGGGACTTAGACAGGAACATGCAAGGGCACAGATGGACTCTGAGCAGTCAATCCCAGGCAAGGCTCCTGCCTCACCTTCTCTCCTGTCTTTACTCTCCTGCTTTCCTCTCTCCTCTCATCTCCCATCTCAGCCTGTGCCTGAAACCAGTGAGGCATTAGAGGCACTAGAGCTGTGCCATTGATGGCATTTGAGACATCCAGAGCCAGGGATGGTCAGACCCCAGACAGTGCTGCTTGTCTTTCTCTCCATTGTGCCCCAGCAATGTTTGGACAACCCCAGGAAGGAGAGTTGCTGGGATCACTGGCACCTGGCATTAGAAGATGAGCCTTTCCTTTCATGCAGCCCCAAACTTGAGAGGAAACAGCAGCATATTTATCTTTATATTTAACATTCATATTAACATTTCCCATCTCTCTTCCAGGAAGGATCATTGGTGGACAAGAAGCTAAGCCCCATTCTAAACCCTACATGGCTTATTTAACAATTGAAAATGGCTCAAAACCTTTTAATTGTGGAGGGTCCCTGATTCGCCCAGACGCAGTGCTCTCAGCAGCTCACTGTGTGGATAAAAAAGGGTAAGACTCCATTGTTCTTGTACAGATGATTTTTTCCAGTCTCACACAGTCCCAGAGTGCCTCAGCCCTGCTCTGGGCTGAAACAGTACCCTGTGTCTCTTCAGGCAGAGCAGGGATCTCTGGAGCTGAGCTCTCCTCTGTGAGTGCAGGAATTGTCTGCCTGGTTGGGGCTGAGTGTCCTTGGGGACAGGAATGCTCACAGGGGTCTCCAGGGTCATGGTTCCTGCCATGGCTTAGAGCTGCTGCTGGAGAAGGGCTCCAGTGTGTCCCCTGCCCTGCTTCCCTTTGTGCTCAGCACGGGGCAGCTGCCAGCTGTGTCAGTGTGGGGTGAGGGATCCTCAGCTGGGCTCTGGAAGGAACCCAGGTGAGAGAGGACAACTTGCTGAGAGCTGCTCTGGGGAGGTTTCTCCAACACCACCTCCCTCCAGCCACCGGCCCTGGGGGCTGTTCCTGCCAATGCAGCTGGAATGTGTTGGTGTTTCCTGGCAGGACAGTGAGCTTCACTGTGATTCTGGGAGCCCACAATGTAAACAGAGAAGAACCGAGCCAGCAGAAGATCCCTGTTGAAAAATGGGTCATCCATCCTGAATATTCCCGTAAAGGCTTCATAAATGACATTGTGCTGCTGAAGTTATGGCCCAACACTAGCTTTCTCCCAGGGGGTCTCCCCCTTCTCAGCTCCCCAAACTCTGAACTTGCTCCTCATCCTTTGCTGGCTCTAACCCCATGTTCTCTCTGCCTGACAGCTGAAGAAAAAAGCCAAGATCAATGAGTATGTGCAATATATCTCCTTTGCCAAGGAAAATGAACATGTGAGAGTAGGAGCCTTATGCAGGGTGTCTGGCTGGGGCTGGACATCTGAGAAACCACCGGGGAGTGATGTCTTGAGGGAGGTGGAACTGAAGGTGCAAAAGGATAAAATCTGTCAGAAGTTTTCCAAATACTTCCAGCCTCAGTCTATGATCTGTGTTGGTGATGAAAACCGTAAAAAATCAACTTACAAGGCAAGTGTTGTTTTGGGCTGCAAGCTTGGGAGGACGTTGGGACTGGAAATTCTGGTTAGTTCCCAGGTGAAAGCCAAAGGACACCAGAATGAACCAGGACCTTCAGAATGATGAGCTGAGGGTCCTCTTGAAGCTCTGAAGCCAATATGCTCCCTGAATTGGGGTGCATTTTCCTAACTATTAGCAACATTTGCTTTTTTACTTACCTGGGGATGTTTTACCCAGCCTAACCAGTGCTTTGGGGTGTAAATCCCTTGTGATATCCTCGCTCAGATGTCTTAAATATTTCCCCATGTCTAAAGTAGGTCTATGTTCTTCTTTTGAGTTTTTCAATCTCAGAGAGCCTCGAGGCCTGAATTGTTTCATGGGTGGGCTTAGAAGAGTAGTGAGACAGCTACAAACACTGAGAGCTGGTTCTGGAGGGAGGGAGGTGCTTGGAAGACGAGGTTCTTCACCTGGAGCAAGGGAAGGGGAAACTTGCTGCTTAAGGCAGGGAGAGCTGAGCTGTGGCATGTCTGACCCCTCTCACTCCTTTCATGGCACAGGGTGATTCTGGTGGCCCATTAGTCTGCAATAAGAAGGCTCATTTCATTGTTTCTCATGGATATCATGACCCCCTCTTCCCTAAGGCATTCACCAGGATCTCCCACTTTGAGCCGTGGATCCATGAGCAGCTGACAAGGTTTGCACTCTAAGATATTCCTGGCTCTCCATCCTCTGACTAAAATGCTCATTGCCCCTTCTCCACGATGCATCCAACACCTGCTGGTGCTCACAAGCTCCCAGGGGCAGCTGAAGTGGAGTCAGAGAAGCCCCTGTGGTGCAGGCACAGGCTTTGGCACTAAGGAAAGTCTCCTGGCAAGCTGTAAATGCAAGTCCCAAGTACACCCAGCTTCCCATTGCTCCTTTCCTCCTATTGCCGCTCCAGGTCTGCTTCTGGCCATCAATAAAAGCATGTTCAAAGTCACTTGTGTCTGCAGCATTCTTGGGAGCTGAATGGAAACCCTGAGTGTGAGAATGACTAGATGACACTCTGGGAGAACCTGAGCATTGGTGGGGCATGCAGGACAGGCCCCAGTCCCTGATTGCCTCTTCATATGGTGAAGAGACATTTCTATCAGTTTATCAGATGGGCAAAGTTTCATGGTATTTTTATAGGTCTGACACGCTCCTTGGACCTACAGGTCTGGGACTCAATGGATCCCTATTTCTGGGAGAAATATGATTGGGGCTGTGGGCTGCCCCGAATTCATCCAGTATTTACAGTGCTTTTCTCAGTTCTGAGGCAGAGAGCCCATTTGGTGGGGCACCTCGCCTCGTGTGGGGAGTTAATACCCCCCCACCAGAGCCAGCAGGTGAAGGATCCATCCAAGGAGAGAAACTCCTGGTTCCCACCCTCCCCTGCATCCCAGGTGGGTGAGGCTTTGCCCACAGCTGAGAAGTTTTTTTCTGCTTCTGAGGATCATGTGCATCCGGCGGCAGCATCGTCTCTCGCTGTTTTGCCCAGGCTGCCGGGCAAGGCGATCGACAGCAGCAGTGAGTGATGGCAGCCTGTCTCAGAGAGGGGCCGTGCCCCCGCTGCTCTCTGCCCGCCTGAGGATGCCCCAGCGGCCGCGGAGAGAGATCCTTGGCCAGATCTGCTGTGGAATTCCCCGTGCCCCGTACTCTGGGAGGGTGCGGACCCGCTCCCACCCTCACTGAGAGAGGCGGCCGGCAGCCCCTCGCTGCACAGCATGCCCAGTCCCTGTGCATCGCAGCCGGGAATTGCATTCATGACAACAGTGCTGGTGGCGATAGTGGGGACCAACCCTGCACCGATTCTGCCACCTCCTTTACCCCTCCCAGGGCTGAGACTGACACCCACCGCTCCAGCTCCAGCAGCGTCTACCCCGCCAGCCCCTCGGGCCCCGCTGACTGCTGCGCCGCCTGCCCTGCCGCTTCCACCGTCTCCGGAGCCGCCTGCAGGCCCTGCCCGCGGCCCTGCCGCCCCTCACAGATTCTGGTGTGTTGCTAAGCAATGCTTCAGCCGTGTGACAAATTGTGCCTGCACTGCTGCTCCCACAAGCAGGAGAAGACGTGGCCACCGCCTCCGTGTCTGCAGTGGCCGCTCTCTCTGCATCAAGCCTGGCAAGGGAAGCAGCCCCACCACCCCCGGCGGTCCCACCGCCCTCAGGGACTCGGTCTTCCATGTCAGTGTCTGCATCAGACCCTGCGACCAGCCTGTCCCTCAGTGGAGGCAGCACAGTTTGACAGCTGATTGATGAAAACTTTGAACTCAGTGTTTTCTGGGACACAGCGTTTTTCGCGGACCGATTCGTGTTTGGTCGGGGGCTTCTCTCGGGGGTTTGGAATGCCTCACTCCCCCCTTGAACAACAGTGGTGTGAGGGAGGTGGCTACATGAGGCGCTGCCTCTGGCCCCAAGCCCAGACGGAATGGCGGCGGTCCTGAGGGGCAGAAAGCAAAAACACTGTTGTTTGCACCACAGGGGCGAGAGAAACAGCGAAAAGCGAGCGTTGCTCGCTTGTTCTAGGGAAAGACGACCCTCAGATCAGGGATGGAGATCCCCGGGAACACTCCTCCTTCGCAGCCGCCGGCATGCGCCAGTGGTTCTGTGGGGAGGAGGTGTTCGGTCACTGCTGCCAAGGCACTGGCAGCATGGTGGGGATGGGCTGTGAGAACAGAGATCCCACCCTGCAGGCTGAGTCTGGGCTGTTTGGGTCGTTTCTCTGGGCTGGGGCCTCCATCCCACCCACTGCTGGGTTTGGGGGCTTTGAGCCCCCTTAACCGAACCTGGGCCACCGTTCTGTGGGCCGGGTCTGGGCTGCCTGGTCCATCCAACAGGACTGGGGCCCCCACAGGGTCGTAAAACCCTCTGCTGGTGCTGATGATTCTACATTAAAAAAAAAAAAAAAAACCAAACAAAAAAGGTGGAAAGAGCTATCAGCTCAAAGTATTCAAAGCCATGAGTCAGCCTCAGCCCAAGTGGTTCAATTAAGGGCTGTGGCCATGGCATTCCAGAAATTTTCTCAATAGTGGTTGATAATTATCAATGGATTTTTATCAATGGATTTTTAATAATTGTTGATTTTCTTTAGCTGTTCTTTGTTTCAGGATTCTGCAAGTCTGTTTCATGATCAAAAGGACCTTTCAGGGATGTCAAAGAGCAACATCTCCAGCCAATGGACTTTCTCCTGAAACTCAGCTGTTTGGACTTAAAACAATGAACAATTCTTTTCATTGTCTTTTGCATTTTCTGTATTGTAAGCCTAGTTTTAGTGATATGATAGAAGTTGATGTTCTACAGGTAAAGAATCTCCTTGATCATTCCACATCAGCAACTGATTGAGGTTTTGATTGCCAATGGATAAACCCCTTGAGACATGTTTGTTCTCTCTTCTTCAAGGGCCCAGCAGAAGAATTACAAACAGAATCTCTTTTTAGTTTAATTACACAAAAAGGGTGAAATGTCACTGTCATATTTTCTGGAAAAATCCCTTTGCCAGGATTTCTTCTCCTGGGAAGCTGAGAAGCCTCAGAGAAAAAGGAAAGCACTATTATCTTATTTGATTCTCCTGTGTTTTGCTGTTTTGGAATGTGGTTGGAGATTGTTTATCCAACATGTGAATTGTTTTGACTTAATGACCAATCATGGTCAGGCTGTGTCGGACTCTGAAAAGAGAGTCACGAGTTTTTAATTAATATCTTGTTAAGCCTTCTGCAAGTATCCTTTCTTTATTCTTCAGTAGAGTTTTAGTACAGCATTCTTTTATATAATATAGTAACATAAAATAATAAATGAGCCTTCTGAGAACACGGAGTCAGATTCATCCTTTCCTCCCCACGACGGGGGATCCTGAAAATACCACACTGCCCCTGCCCAGGGCACCTGCTGGTCTGGACTGGGCTCACAGAATGACTTCCCAGCTGCTCCTCAGACTTCCTCATCACCATGGACTTGTCAGATTCCCCAGAACAGCAGGGCTGAGGTCATGAGGGTCCCACTGGCCTTGTCCCTTGGTGACGCTGATTGGTGATTTCTGATTTCCCAAGGACATCTCTGATGGCAGTCAGCCCCTCTGATAAAAAACAGGAACTTTGCCTGTCCCTGGCCAGCTCATCCCATTGCTATCAGAGAATGTGGGGGATACAAAAAACAAAAAGAAAACAAAATCCTGGTGGATGAACCCTGCATGCAGGATCCCAGGGGCTCTCTCCAAAGGTCTCTGATGGGACATGCACTCAACAGACACCCCTTTCCTCTTCCTGTGAGCTCTGTGGGTGCCCTGAACCAGCCCAGATCTCTCCATCGTTTTGAGAAGATCGTGACAAGAGTAGAGAAGGTGTCATGAGCCCCTCACCCCCTCACAGTTTGGGGGGTGTGAGAACAGAAGCAGTAAATGACACAGCTACAGGCAGGCTGAGGTTTCCTGTGTCAGCTCCACATGACATATATAGAGGTTCTGTACTGGCCATTCTGTACCTGTCTCCTGCCTGGCCAAAGCCACTGCTTTGGCTCTTCAGGACAGTGGTGGGAGATGCTGCTGCTCCTTCTGCTCACAAATGCTTTTGTCCTTCTGCCCTGGGCTGGGGCTGGTGAGTACACAGAGATGGGACTTAGACAGGAATATGCAAGGGCACAGATGGACTCTGAGCAGTCAATCCCAGGCAAGGCTCCTGCCTCACCTTCTCTCCTGGCTCTACTCTCCTGCTTTCCTCTCTCCTCTCATCTCCCATCTCAGCCTGTGCCTGAAGCCAGTGAGTCATTAGAGGCACTAGAGCTGTGCCCTTGATGGCATCTGAGACATCCAGAGCCAGGGGTGGTCAGACCCCAGACAGTCCTGCTTGTCCTTCTCTCCACTGTGCAGCAGAAATGCTTTGGACAGCCCCAGGAAGGAGAGTGGTTGGGATCACTGGCACCTGGCTTTAGAGGATGAGCCTTTCCTTTCATGCAGCCCCAAACTTGACAGGAAAGACCAGCATATAAACATTTATAATAACATTTATATTTAACATTCATATTAACATTTCCCATCTCTCTTTCAGGAAGGATCATTGGTGGACGAGAAGCTAAGCCCCACTCCAGACCCTACATGGCTTTTTTAATAATTCAAAGTGGCATACAATTTTATACTTGTGGAGGGTTCCTGATTCGCCCAGATGCAGTGCTCTCAGCAGCTCACTGTGTGGATAAAAAAGGGTAAGACTCCATTGTTCTTGTACAGATGATTTTTTCCAGTCTCACACAGTCCCAGAGTGCCTCAGCCCTGCTCTGGGCTGAAACAGCACCCTGTGTCTCTTCAGGCAGAGCAGGCATCTCTGGAGCTGAGCTCCCCTCTGTGAGTGCAGGAATTGTCTGCCTGGTTGGGGCTGAGTGTCCTTGGGGACAGGAATGCTCACAGGGGTCTCCAGGGTCATGGTTCCTGCCATGGCTTAGAGCTGCTGCTGGAGAAGGGCTCCAGTGTGTCCCCTGCCCTGCTTCCCTTTGTGCTCAGCACGGGGCAGCTGCCAGCTGTGTCAGTGTGGGGTGAGGGATCCTCAGCTGGGCTCTGGAAGGAACCCAGGTGAGAGAGGACAACTTGCTGAGAGCTGCTCTGGGGAGGTTTCTCCAACACCACCTCCCTCCAGCCACCTGCCTTGGGGGCTGTTCCTGCCAATGCAGCTGGAATGTCTTGGTGTTTCCTGGCAGGACAGTGA